GATGAATAATTTTTGCTTTTATATACATCTTTAAACACCTGTTTTTATACACATTTTGTGTGTATAATATATACATCTATATTCTACTGACAATACTTACTGTTAATTATACTGTAATTATTATTACAATAATTATTTCAATTTAAAATAAAAATCTTGTTTTAATTGTCATGTTTTTAAATTCAATTGACAGTCTATCATGTATTATATAATCTGTAATAAGTTACAGACTGTATATTGGGTTATCTGGAAAGTAATGAACCTAAGCGCTATCAGATGCAGCTAAAATTACTAAAATGTTTTCGTTATTTAAGGTAACATTCTTAGGCACCAGAAACCAAGTTTCATCCAATTCCCATTAATAATTAAGAAACAGGAATATTTTATATGACACTTATAAATATAATGTATTTCCTTTGGGAGGGTTTGATTGTTGGTATTTGTTGACGAGTGTATTTAAACTAAAATTAACCATGCTTAAATAATAATAAAGATAATACAAAACCCGCACTCATTTGAAATATTCAATATTTAATAAATCTAATGATTCGTTATTCAATGGCCAACAATGACCGGTACCCCATGCCTGTGGCCATATCATTATCGGTAGTCAACCCGATTAACGATCTGTGTTCGGTCGGTTCGCATTGGATTCTCATTATAGTTGAAGTTATGATATCTTCTATAAACTATTGTCAGATAACTATTGGTGAATCCCAATAACCAAATAATCACTTTAAATGTGTATTTTGTAAACATATTTTTACTATAAAAATATGATAATTTTTGACCAAATATTTTAATGCAAATTTGGAAAATAAAAATAACCTTTTAAAAATTAATATTTAATACACAATACTGTATCATTGTTTTGACAACATTGTCGAATATACAAGGGTGATTTAATTAAATCAATTAAATTTGTTGATACTTCTTTTCATGTTTATAAAATATTATTTGTTAGTTAAATAATATTAAGATTGTTTTATTGAATTGACTAGATTAAACTGTCAAGATTTTATATTTTAACGTATATTATTAACAAATGTTGACTCTTCGTTACATTTAATCATGTGGTATTTTATAAACATCACAATCGCAATACTATAATCGTAAACAAATAAAATTATTTAAATAAACAGAAATAATTTAAGAATGGTTTAATAGATTATGATTTTTAATTGTCTGAATGTGCATTTTATATAAAATGGAGTATTAATATAATTACCATGATATCTCTGGCAATGTTGTCCAATTTAGGCGGCGGATACTTCTTTTCAAGTTCAGCCATCTTTTGATCCGTAAGGCTTGAATTCATACAACTTTCAAACTAAATAATAAAAGTTAATATATTATACAATAATTAATTGAAATCATATGACAAATACCTGTTCACCCAAATGGGCATCACATTCAAGCGCCTGATATTCCAGATCAGTGGGTTCGCTACTTTCTTTACCTTGTTGTTTTCTGATCTTAGTGACGCATTGTTTCTCAATGTCTTTAATCTATCAATATTTGATATAATAGTTGTTAAGATATAATATTTGATATGATTTGAATTGACAAACTTCTTGTGGATTTTTGTCTTCGCATTTCTTGAATTGCTTGAAAATATTGGCGTCTTTTTCTGCACAATATTTCTGATAAAACTGTTTCATGCATTTGAATTCATGGGGCAAAGCAGGTGTCGTGGCGTTCGTTGTCTCACCACTCAATTCATTGATAATCACTGCAAACAATGCAAACCATATAACCATTTTCATAGTTATAATACACTTATGTTACTCTTCTTGTTTCAGATGCATATAATTTGTTAACTATATAAAATGATTTAATTATTTGCGAATAGCCTTATATTTAAATTTAAATACGATTTTTAAAGTAAGGGGTTATTTTAAGTGTAATGTTTATTCATATGTTCAATCTACCTGGTAATATAAAACTATAATTTACAAAGTTTTAATTTATTGATTGATAACATGAAATTATATGTTTGAACACGTTATGCCCATATTGTTTTTCATCTAATAAATAAGTTTAAATACAAATATTAGTGACAATTGTCTAAATAAAAAATAGATTGCATTTCTTCAAATAACAGCTATTTATACAATATCTACGTAAATAAAGTTAATTTATAGATTTCTAATTAACAAAAATAGTTTAGTCATTTATTTATTCACTATGTTAAAAATTTGAGTATCAAATTCACTAAATAATTATGCATTCAAATATGCCATACGATAGACCACCGCCTTATCACGTGCTGTACGAAGAGGTGCCCACTTTTGCCGACGAACCGTTGGCACAGTTGCGGCCAACGAGTCAACGCACACCATATCTCACACCACAGGCTTTGCCGCCATATATTCCTCAATCGCTACAAATGATCGAAACAACTCATCCCTCGATTATAGTCAATACAAACCGACCAACAAATGAGATGAACGACACAAAGTGTT